TTACTGGGGTGTCTTCCAGCCCCCCCCCCCCCAGGAAGGTATTCCAACCCCCCGACCGCCACGGTTGTCTCCCCCAAACTCGTCTGCCTTGCTACTTTGAAATTTGAATGCACTTTCGGTGAAACACTACAGAACGCAGCAGCGGGAGGTGGTCTGGGGGTTTGGAATACCCCCCCCCCTCCCCCGTTCGAAGAGTTCATTTACACGAATGGTATAGTGAAAACATTGATTATAGGCAAAGTCGTTGAATTTACTGGGGGTATTCCATCCCCCATGGAGGTATTCCATCCACCCAAGGAGGTATTCCATCCCCCAGACCGCTTCGGTGTTGCATTCTCCCCCAAAACCGACTACCGTTCCACTCTGAATGCAAATTTCGATCAAACACCACAGAACGGGGAGGGGGGGGTCCATACCCCTTCTTAGGCCCTCAATGTTGCGTACTCCCCACAAAGCGGTCTACCTCGCCACTTTCAATATAATTTTTGTTAAAACACAATATGGCGCAACAATAGCGGGTCTGGTGAATAGAATACACCTCCCCCCCCCCCTACGAAGAGTTTATTTATACGAATGGTCTCATTGGGCGATAACGCCACAGGGGGGGGGGTCTGGGGGTTTGGAATACCCTCCCTCCCGTACGAAGAGTTCATTTACACGAATTGTAAGGTGACAATATTGATGATAGGGAAAGTCGTTGAATTTACCGGGGGTATTCCATCACCCCGGTGTTGCATTCTCCTCCAAAACCGTCTCCCTTACCAATCTGAATGCAAATATCGGTCAAACGCCACATAACGCAGCAGCGGGGGGCCTCCTGGGAGTTTGAAATAACCCCCACCCCCCGGTACAAACAGTTCATTTACACGAATGGCCTCATGGTGATCATATTGTTTTAGGGAAAGTCATTGAATTTACTGGGATGTATTCCATCCCTCCAGGGAGGTATTCCATCCTCCCCTGACCGCGCCGGTGTTGCATTCTCCCCCAAAAGCGTCTGCCTTACCACTCTGAATGAAAATTTCGGTCAAACACCACAGAACGCAGGACCGGGCGGCTTGGTTAAACAAAAACAGCGCAGAACGTAACCCCCCCCCCCCCGGCTACAAAGAGTTCGTTTACACAAATGATCCCATGGTGATAATATTGATCATTGACTATTTCTTGACTGGAGGAGGGAGGGGTATACTACACTCCTTAAGCCCCCGCTGTTGCTTACTCTCCCAAAGCTGTCTGCCGCGCCACTTTCAATATAATTTTGGGTCAAACACAATATGGCACAGCAGCAGCGGGTATGGTAAATGGAGTACACCCCCCCCCCTCCGTTCGAAGAGTTCATTTACACGAATGGTATGGTGAAAATATTGATTATACGAAAAGTCGTTGATTTTACTAGGGGTATTCCATCCCCCCAGGGAGCTATTCCATCCCCCAGGCCGCCTCGGTGTTGCATTTTCCCCCAAAACCGATTACCGTACCAATGTGAATGCACAACCACAGAACGGGGAGGTTTGTAATACCCCCCCCCCCCCCCTCCGTATGACGAGTTCATTTACACGAATGGTTTCATGGTGATAATATTAATTATAGGGAAAGTCATTGAATTTACTGGAGTGTATTCCATCCACCCATGGAGGTATTCCATCGCCCCAGTTCACCCTGGTGTTGCGTTCTACTCCAAAACCGTCTGCCTTGCCACTATGAATACAATTTTCAGTAAAATAAACCGATACAACGAAATATCGAAGGATCCTCAGTATTACAATAACTTTTAACGATAATTTATTTTAATGTTACAAAATACATCAAATTCATGTCTTGGCCATTGAGATAATGCTCTTAATCTTGTTTTGATCAAAATCCATGTGGTCGCCAAAAATAGATCAAATTCATGTTTTGATCATTGAGATAATGCTCTTGGTCTTTTTCCCAACGTTCTTGGTGCATAAATAACGATTTTGACATGTTTTGATCAAAATTCATGTGGTCGCCAAAAATACATCAAATTCATTCATAGTTTTGTGTAACGATTGAGATGATGCTCTTAGTCTTTTTCCCAACGATCTTGGTGCATAAATAACGATTTTGACATGTTTTGATCAAATTGCTCTAAAACTTTCGACCTATACCACAGAGAAGAGTTATATTAAAGTATTACACATCTAAGAGTCATAGGGAATAATCTAGCGGAAGTCCCAACCCGATACATGACCTAGGGAATGAAATATGTTGATTTCTATTATATTGAGCCCGTAGTTTTTCCTGTTCCCGATTCACTCGAAGTCCTATAACTTTTGTTCCTATTGAACCAGCTTCCTGAAAATCAATAGCGTCCGTCCTTAATGTCCAAAGAACCCGTACACCAAATTTCAACTCAATCGGCCACTTTTAAAAAGAGTTAGAGCGCACACGGACGGACGGACGGACGGACGGACGGACGGACGACAATACAAAACTATAAAGGATCTGAGGATCCTTAATAACACAGAACGTAACACCGGGAGGTCTATTATAGCCCCCCCCCCCCTCCCCACACTATACGAAGAGTTCGTTTGCTTGAATAATTCTATACTCTCCTGAATCACATTCTACTCTAAAACCGTCTGCCTTACCACTTTGAATGCAATTTTTTTTCGATTAAACACCACAGAACGCAGCTCAGGGGGGTCTTTAGGGGGCGAATGGTCTCATGGTGATAATATTGATTATAGAGAAAGTCATTGAATATTTTGAATTATTGAATTATTTCTTTACTCCACACAAAGCGGTCCACCTCGCCACTTTCATGATAATTTTTGTTAAAACACAATATGGCGCAACAGCAGCGGGTCTGGTGAATAGAATAACCCCCCCCCCCCGCGTCTACGAAGAGTTTATTTATACGAATGGTGTTATTGGGAGATATCGCCGCGGGGGGAGGGGGGTCTGGAATACCCTCCCATACGAAGAGTTCATTTACACGAATGGTAAGGTGAAAATATTGAATGTAGGGAAAGTCGTTGAATTTACTGGGGGTATTCCATCCCCCCCCAGACCACCCCGGTGTTCCATTCTCCTCCCTAAAACCGTCTCCCTTACCAATATGAATGCAAATGTCGGCATTCTCCCCCAAAAGCGTCAGCCTTACCACTCTGAATGCAAATTTCAGTCAAACACCACAGAACGCAGCACCAGGGGGCCTCCTGGGGGGTTTGTACCCCTCCCCCCCCGAATGGTTTATTTACACGAATGGTCTCATGGTGATAAGATTCATTATAGGGAAAGTCATTGAATTTACTGGGTTGTATTCCATCCCTCCAGGGCGGTATTCCATCCTCCCCAGACCGCGCCGGTGTTGCATTCTCCCCCAAAAGCGTCAGCCTTACCACTCTGAATGCAAATTTCGGTCAAACGCCACAGAACGCAGGACTGGGGGGCTTGGGGGTTTGGTTAAACAAAAACAGCGCAGAACGTAACCCCCCCCCCCCCGGCTACAAAGAGTTCGTTTACACAAATGATCCCATGATGATAATGTTGATTATACGGAAAATCATTGAACATTTCTTGACGGGAGGGGTATTCTACACTCCTTAAGCCTCCGCTGTTGCTTACTCCCCAAAAGCTGTCTGCCGCGCCACTTTCAATATAATTTTGGGTCAAGCATAATATGGCGCAGCAGCAGCGGGTATGGTGAATGGAATACCCCCCACCCCTCCCACCCCTCCGCACCTATGAACAGTTTATTTATACAAATGATCTCGTGGTGGTATTAACGATTATAGAAAAAGTTATTGAATGTTTCTTTACTGGAGGGTTTTCGATATCCACTATACCCCTCGATGTTGCATTCTCCCCCCCAATACAGCCTGCGTCGTCACACCAGGGATGCAAGGGATTGTTCACGGGATTAAGCAAATTCGGTACATTTAGAAAACGCAGGAGGTTCAACGGGTTTCTGTTAGGGTTCAAGAGATTCAAGGGAACTCAAGGGTTTAAGATATTTTAGGGACCGCAGGTGTTTGGACGTTTGAGAGTGTCAAGGGATTTGGACATTCCAAGGGAATCAAAACATTTCCATGATGTTGAAAGTAATCCAAGACAGGATTCAAGGAAAGTAAAAACTAGTTCAAGATGTTCAGGAATGTTCAAAAAAGGATCTCAAGCGCGTGAATTTTTAATTATTTTGCTCCCTTCAGGCTCTTGAGTTACAGCTCCATTGAATTCTTGAATATCTTTAATTATGTACTTGAATGTCATTAATATCCTAAAGTTGTTGAATCCCTCAAACCTATATGGAATCCCCGAAACTCTTACCCTGAAATTCCGATCCTTTTAGGGTCTCTTAATCCCTCTTGGAATGTCTTAAGATTCTTGAATATCTTGACAACCCTTCTGCATGTCATTTTCGTTTCGTAAACCATCCGAACCACTTAAATGTCTTGATTCCTTATAATCTCCTGTCAATCACAGCACCCCTTAAATTTTTGTACACCTTGAACCCGTAAATATTTTAAATCTTCTTGAATACCGTGTGCCTCTCAAACCTTTTGTCACATTCTTTTGAATCCTCATCAATTTTTTTGAAATTTTTAAATACTATGAATCTCTTGAACCTTTTGCACCAATTCTTTCAGTTCGGTGAATTTCTTGATTCACTTATCTAGCGATTCTTCTTGAATCGTTCTTGAAACCATTGAACCTCTTCCATTTCTAGAAACTCACGGACCTCTGAAATCTCAGAAACCTCTTGAGTGCCTTAAACGTCTTAAAATCTATTGCGCATGAATTTTCTGAATGTATGTGATCTCTTAAATCTGTCTCTCTCTGAACCTGACACGAATTTTCCGAACTTTTTTATTTTTCAATTTTCATTCTCCCTTTTTCCAATAATTGCATTTCTTAGATATTCTTCTTTGAATTTCAAATCTACAACGTGGCAACGTCGCCAACCACGCTTAACATTTGCTCTTTATGCCATACCACCCTGGCGCGTAAAGCAACCCTAAATGTTTCGGGCGAAGTAAACCACAATAACGGCAAACTTTATTTCAGCACACAAGAGTTGCAAATAAACTAGAAAAACTTAGTAATTATTTTCCCCGGTTTTCCGTTCTCCCATTTTCGTACGGTGATTGTCGGTTGCCCACGCTTCATCGCTTCGACTCGTAACGCTGGCTTCAGGCATCTTCGTAGGGCCGTCGCCGCAATAATAGAGTACCCAATGTAACTATTACGAATTATTAATATTTGAGCAACTGAAAACGTACTTACTTTAAGCCGACACTTCTAATCTCCATCACTGACGTTTCGACAAAAGCGCCACCACGCGTCAATTAATCCAAACGCGGTAGTTCAAATGCGCTCAGGGCCGACAACTTCGAACTTTTTAGTGCGCCTCAAATGTGGATATTAACATCCACCTACCTGATGTAAAAATTAAGTATACAAACAAAGAATGTTAATAAATTAAGATTTTATGCGCCCCTTTTTAAAAAAGATTACATACTATGTAACTGTTCGTAGAGTTTGAAAGAATTTTTATAATTCATTTAATTATAATTTATGGCAATAAAAGTCCGGACCTAACAAGTTTAGCGCGACCAAGCGCTCACTTCGATATAAAATTTATGTAATTTAATCTGCCTTTTTTTAGAAAAAAAAACGGGACAGTTATAAAACTGTCATATTTTTGAAATAATAAAATATTTCCACATTTTTTATTATACGCGTCTTATTAAAATTTTTAATAAGATGTTTTAATATTATCCAAGTTCGATATTAAGATATTTTAGACTCTCGCTCCATTATCTATTATGTCTATCTTGTTCTAGACGAGCTTTACTGCGTTTTATTATTTTTTTGACACTTTTAATGACTTTTCGCGGTTGCTCTTTGACCGTCGTTAAATTTTAATTCGACTCTGATTTCTGTTCTTTTATTCCGTTTTTCGCTGTTGCGCCTTATTTACGCCTGTCACAATATTTGATTGGGATCGTATTTTCCGAAACTTACGGGATTGAATCATAGTTGCAGTAACGAGGTTTATAAATAAAAAATCAAAATAAAAAAAATTATGAAGAAATAGACGAAGAAAATGATACTCATAAACTATGAAGACTTCTCATTTTTTAAAAGTTAGTACAGAAAAGCGCTTCAAAACCGATTCAATTTTCAAAATTCATAAAATGACTTGAAAAAGAAAGTCAATGTCAACTTACATTTCATTTCATGTTTAAATCAACTAAATATAATTAGAAAACGTTCATTAATTAATAATCCCAATCTTGAGTTATTAGAGTTTAAGTGCAAAGGCAATTAGTAAGCTTTTAACCTAATTCCTGAATTGGTATGGAATTTCTATTTCAATTTAAGAATTCATGAGGTGAAAATTAATTAAAAACAATTCGCAATGTTTCAGCCTAATTTTTTAGTTAAAAATCCTAATTTTAATTCATTAGAGGAATTTATAACGTTTTTATATTAATTCCAACTGTAAGTTCTAATTTGAACGAAAAAATTTGAAATTAAGTAGGTAAAAATAATTAAAAAACTTATGAGCTTGATTCTAATTTCAATGAAAGAATTATAGTAATTATAAAGCTTTGAGCTAAATTTCTCACTTAAAAATCTAAATTTTAATTATTTATAGCTTAAATGTGAAGGAAATTATTATTATTATTGTTAATTAAATTTCAAATCTGACTTTTTAACTACTAGTTTATCGTGTAATAAATTTCAAAGATCTCCATGGTTATAATTCAATGTGCTGTTAACGCTTCTGTATCACGTTATCGTTTCTCTCACACGGACAAACCGTGGAGATTCGAACGATAATTATTGTGTCGCGTTCTTCAAACCTTTAAGATCCCCTTTACATGTACCCACTTGCTTTCAACATGACGGGGCACCCGCTCATTGTACAGATAAGACTTATTAAATGAGGGAATTCCACAAATTTTCAACTTCGAACTTTGAATTACTTAAATTAAGAATTAAAACGTAATTAGAGGATTTTAAATTAAAAAATGTTGAGCCTAATTTTCGAAATTAAGCTTTCAATTGGGATTAAGCTTAAATGACAGTAACCGTAAAACCTTAGCTTTAATTTGCGAGTATGATACTGAACACCGCAAACGAAATTTTGATTTTAATTAAGCAAGTAAGCTGATGATGAAATTAATTAAAAATAATTAGAGAATTTTCAGCTTTTCGCAGCTAAACTACCAATTTTATTTAGTTAGAGCTTAAATTAAAAGGCAATATTTAAGTCTAGAATCTAATTCCTGACTCTGGGCTTTTAATTTGAATGGAATTCCGATTTGAATTAAGGAATTCACGAGCTTAAAATTAAGTAAAATGAATAGAAACCGCTTTTAGTTAGAAATTCATTAGAGTCTAAATTAATTCCTAACATCAGTTGAGGAATTCACGTGTTTGGAATTACCTAAAAATAATTTAGGTTAATTTCCTAACTAAAAATCCTGTATTTAGTTAATTAAAATTTAATTGCAAAAGTAATTACTAATTTTTTTATTAAATTCCTAACTGTAGACACAATTCAATTTTGTTTTTTTATTATCGAATTTAATAATTTGAGTTTTGGAGTTCAGGCTCTCAATTTCAACGGAATTTTGATTTCAATTAAAAAATTCACTAGCTTTAAATTAGCTATACATAATTAGAAAACGTCCATAAGTTAAAATCCAAATCTTAATTCATTAGAATTTAAACGCAATGGTTTTTAATCTAATTCCTTCGTGCTGGCTCTCAATTCGTATAGAACTTATATTTTAATTAAGGAATTAATGGGCTTGAAATTATCATAAATTAATTAGAAGATCTTTAGCCTAATTTTTAGATCAAAATCCTAATTTTAGTTAATTAGCGGATATGATTACGTTTTTATATTAATTCCTGACTGTAGGTTCTCAATTTGAACGGAATTTTAATTTGAATTATAGAATTCACGAGTTTGAAATTAAGTTAAAAGTAATTAAAAAATTTTATTTTCAATCAAAGAATTTAAAAGTTCGAAATTAAGCCATTGATTTAATTCCTAACTGTAGGCGGTTAATTTAAACGTAATTTTGATTTTAGATTTTGATTTAAAGAATTCACGAATTTAAGAATTAGAGAATTTTCAGCTTAGTTTCTTCGGTATAACACCCAATTTGAATCTATAAAAGCTTAATTCGAACGAACTTTTAATTTCAATTAAAGAATTTGACAGCTTGAAATGCAGTAAAAAAATAATTAGAAAACTTTGAGCTTAATTTCTTAGTTCAAATCTCAATTTTAATTACTGAGAGCTTAAATGCATAGGAAATTATTAAGTCATTGATTTAATTCCTAATTGTAGGCGCCTAATTTAAACGGAATTAGAAGATTTTCAGCCTAATTTTGTAGTTAAAACCCGCAATTTTAATTCATTATAGGAAATAATTAAGTTTTTATTTTAATTCGTACCTGAAAACTCAATTTGAACGGAATTTTAATTTGAATTAAAAACCCCAATTTTAATTAATTAGAGGTACTAACTAAGTTTTTTTAATTTTAATTCCTAACTGAATACATCAATTCGCACAGAATTTTAACTTAAATTAAATAATTCATGAGCTTAAAATTAATTAAAAATGATTAGAAAACTCTGTCTAATTTTTTAGCTAAAAGCCGCATTTTTAATTGGAGGAAATAATTCAGTTTTTTAGTGCATTTTTTAAGAATTAAAAAAATGTGCTATTGTTTGCGTTTTGTCCGTCTGTCCGTTGGGACCCACTTCTGCCGTTTTGAACTACTTCTAGGGGAATGGCCCTAGAGTCCTGGATTTTTTTGCAGTAGGTAGCCTATACCTTGGAGGTGTGCCAGACGGCCATCAAATTTCGCTGTCTAAAAGGGCCCCCCTCCCCCACAAATTATTTCGTGAGATGCTGTTTTGAAAGTGAAACGTGCATAACTTTTACATACGACAACCAATTGGTCTCAGATTTGGCATACGCATGACTTTAGTGGTGCCAAGTTAAACTTTAGAAAATTGGGGAGGGGGGAGGTACACACATGTACTACCCTTCATGGTATTCTAATGAAAGGTCTCATCGAAATAAATTGGTTTGCACAAACTATAACTTTCCCGTGCGACTCTTTTTCGAAATCAGTGAGCGACGAGGCCTGAGGGAGGGGGGGGGGGTTAAAAATTAATTTTATCGCTCATTGTATTCTAATTAAAGGTCTCAACTAAAGGATCCGTTTTCTACCACCAACTACTGCCCTTCTTTCTGTCCTCTTATCAAAGTACGAGGTGGGGGGGGGGGGCGCTAGTTTTATCCTTCATGGTACTCTAATGAAAGGTCCCAACGAAAGGAATTAATTTCTACCAACCATAGCCCTCCTCCTCGACCTCTTATCGTGATCGAGTATATTCCCTTATACCTCAAGAACGGATTGTCGGAAGAGGGTACTCACAAAGGGCGAAACGTCTGCAAGGAATATATCCATTGGTGATGTCAAAACAAAAGCTATTTCGGTTTAAAAAAATGCGCTTTATCTGCACAATTTATACTTGTTTTACTTTTGTTTGTGTTTATTACTGATAATTCATATTTATTATTATGTTGAGAAAGACGGTGATTTCGAAGAGGCTGACGATGAGTAGCAACTGGAAAAGTTGAAGGACACGAGGAGACCTATGTATTCGAGGGAGCGAGAAAGTTGAGAATTTGGTTTGAAGCTGGCTTACCGAAAACAGCCGAAGAAGGAGGAACGGTGGTAAAAATCTGCAAAAACTGGAGAAAATCAGAATTTAAATGAGTTAAACAATTTTTAAACGTCAAAAGATGCCCTTCGACACAGGATAAGTAAAGTAACAATCGATAAAAATTAAAGCAAAAATAAGAAAATGATTAAGTCGTCCGCTTTGAAGTTGAAATAAATTTCTCGCATCTGTACATTAGGATTTAGACCTTAATACGAATAATCCGAGTGGGCACGTGAGATTATTCTTCAGCCTCGGACGACACTTAAAATTTCTCTCTTAATTACGTATTTAATCGTTCACCGTTTGAGAGAAAAAAGCCGCTTTACATTTTAAATATAAAACAGATTTTTGTTGGTTTCGGGCAAATTCCTGGACCGCCGTAAACTGGTTCCAGAGCCGTCGAGATCTCGTCTCGCCTTCGTGAGATTTCAAGTTTAATTTTTTTAATGGAAATCTTAATAATAAATATCTTACCAATAATGCCCTCCATTTCCGATGTTTCATCCGAGCCTGAAAGTAAAAGAACGATTAGTGTAAAAGCACATCAGCGAACTTAAATTAACTGAAATCATCAAATTAACGTTTTCTGCAATTTGGGGTTTATGATGGAAATTCCAAATTGAAATCCGAATATTTGCAAAAACTGTCGTTACGTCTACAGTTCTGAAACATATGTCAAATATCTTCCTAAAATTAAACCTCAAAATGTTTACGTGTTCTGAAGAAATGGTACAGAAATCATCATCCAATGTCTAATTAATTAAATCTTTTCTAGCGAAACCACAATCACAACGCGAATCAAATTAAAAACATCGGGCAAGAAATTAATCGATCGAATCAAAAGTCCAATTAATCAAAATACGTTCCCGAAAATATCATCGGCCACGTGACCGAAACTCGCCAACATCTCGCAACGTGATCAAAATGCAGCATCCGTGAAAGGAACAAGAAAAATCGGCATTGATCCGCCTTACCCTAGATATAAACCACACGAGACATTAGCTAAGATAAGAACCCATTTTTCTTCAATGGAACACCCTGTATATTTTAATCTAAAAAGATTCAATTTTTAAGAATTAGCATTAGAAAAATTTAAAACTGTAATATTGATTCAAAAAAGATTTTTAAGAAATTAAAAAATTTGAATATCTTTTTCTTCTTTTAAAATCTATTTTTAATCTTTTTGAATTTTTTGAGTCACTTGAATATCATCCCTGATGTGCTATATTTTTGAAAAGAGAATTC